GAGTGGCTTTTTCACTATCAGTCCGTGTAGGGTACAGCGTGTGAACATAATTTTTAAACCAGGAAGGCAGTCAGGACGAAAGCTCTCGAAAAAGCAATAGAAACAGGCGACGTGGGGAGATTTCCCAGAAACGAACAATATGACACACGGTAAAGAAAATGTTTACAGGAATGCAACACCAGCACAAAGACAAATCTAAAAATCAAAGCATTGGACTTCAGAAAGAGTGAGAGAGAGAGAGAGAGAGAGAGAGAGAGAGAGAGAGAGAGGGAGGGGGGAGAGAGGGAGAGAGAGAGAGATTCAAGTCAATTAAAAAAAAAATTTGTTACAGAAAACAGAGAAGCACATGATACATGTACTAGCAGAAGGTAAGGAAGAAGGCTCACACATACAACAGCATGCATTAAAATGGCCACAATAGAAAAATGTGATGGCAGGTAATTTTTTTTTTTTCGTTTCCTTTAACATGAATTACAGATGATAATAAAAACTTTCATTTGTGGTGAAAAAAAACAACGTTTCAGTCTTATGAGTAAATAAATATAGTGCAGGTTTAGTTGAAGGTCTTCCATGACATGGTGGTCTACCGAAAGTCCTGCCAGATCGGCCACGGTTTACTGCAGTTTAGGGGTGTCTGGCATAGTTTAAATCCCTTCTGATTGGCCATGGTTACGACAGCGCTAGAGGCATACTTCCAAAGGTGGTGGTATTACATAATTGTGGTGGAAGCGTGGATTGCTTCATGTTGCAGTCATTTAAATCAAAGAATTTTTTGCGCTGGTGAAGATTATAATTGACAACCAATGACAGCAAGTAAAAAGATGTGACTATTTTTAAGAAATCAGGGAGACAAAATATCCCCCTTCTCCTCCTCACAAGTACAACACCTCCCACCCTCCAAAACCGCCAATGGCAGTTCCAAGCCTGCATAATGCAAAGGGAAAAGGGATGTGAACTCAAAACTGATCCTTGTCAAGGGTCCCAAGCTTGTATTAAGTGGCAGACCTTTCAACTAAACCAGAAACATCATGGTAGACCATGAACTAAATCTGCACCTGAAAAACAATTGCTACGACTACTTCACTGGATATCTCTTTGTGAAAAAACGTTTGTCTTCAGGAAAAAAAAACCCAGACGAATGTGGAGACTATAAAAAAAATTAAGTCACAGGGACAAATATAGGTTTGTCTCTCTAAAAGATTGAACTCACTCCCCACCCATTTATTTTTAATAATTAAATCCTCAAACAACAAAAGGAATAATGTTAGTCAAGACATGTTTATTGTTCACCAGTACTCCAGAAAACAAACAGCATAAATTTTAATATTCCAGTAACTGTACACTTGAGCTTTCACATAATTTTTTCTTTCTCTTCATGATATACTTTCTCAAGAAGCCTACCCCTATCATGTTTTAAAGATCTGAGGAGAGCAGAGAAAACAGACACCCTCCTACCCCCAAATACACAAGAAGCCTAAAAAAATCTTGGAACATGCAGCATAGCTGAAACACAATAAATTGTTACTAAAAAGAAGAGAGGAAAAGTATGACCCCCCCCCCCCCCCAATCTCTTCTCCAGTTTAAAAAAAAATAAAAATAATAATAAATAAAAATAAAGTCCAAAAAGCACAATACTCTTTATATGTTAACTTTTGCTTACCTTGTAGACATTTTCCACCACTCCCATGGCAGTCTGGTTGGGTATATTTTTCCGCTTCAACTCCGGGCACTCTCTGTTAATACTTTCGAAGAATGTTTCCAGCTCTTCAAACGTGTCATACATCATACCACTAATGTCCTGGCCAGACTTGTTACGACCCGAATTCACCATCACCACAGGGTATTTCTTGCTCCAACCAGCTGCAAAATTCTTTGGGGGACAATCTGCCTGCACTGTGAAAACCTTGAAATCAATATCATCCTGATTCTCTCCAAGCAAGCATGTTATCATGAAGAACTGTTGGCAAATCGGATCAGCCCCTTTCGTTTCTTTGTCAATGGCAGATGCCTGTGAAGATAATAAAAGAGTAATATTACAATTATGCAGAGATGTTTGTTTACAAGTCCTGAAATACAGCAAATAATTGCAACAAATAGAGTTGATTGAAAACAGGGCAACGAAACAAAAATTGCAAAAGGCAATCGTATGAATACTTGCATAGGATCACTGCCAACAAATAAACCACACTGAGAACCACATTGAGCATACACAGCTTTTCATATTATATCTGTACAAGTTATCACTCTTTCTTCAGAGATACTGTGCTTAATATAGTAAGTTTTATACATCTCACAATGTACATGTTTATCCTTTTTTTAGTCATTAAACAGTGTCTCAGGACTTCTTTTAAATGTCATGTGAACACATGATGCCTTTATTACTTCCATCTTGTTTAAGGAAAGCACCAATCTCAACAGTGAAAATGTGGGATTTCTGTCAAAGCTCTTCACCCAGTTGTAAAAGAGGAGAGGAGAAATCTAAGAAAGAAACAAAACACGCAAAACAAAGATAAAATATTAATATATTCACTCGTTCATTATCATGACTGAGAGCTTGTCACATCTAAGATGAGCTAGGATGGGATGTTACATTAAATTAACAAAGGGAACCTATCTTTTTTAAGACAACAGATTTCATTTCCTCTATAATCTCATAACTATACACCATCTCTTACACAGTCCATAAAAAAAAAACCCAAAAAAAACCCACAATAAAACCCTGAATAATAACATGAATTTCACAGTACAAGAGCATTTCTTCATGAATGGGAAATTGCAATGTATAAAATATACAAGTGAAAAAAGCCGGTAACCGGAATTTTATGTTAGACGGCTTCTGGCTAAGTGAAGTCTAATTAATGTGTCAAAAGACAAAACAGCCAACTGTTTTATTGTCAAAATGACATTGAATCACTTATTTTATTATAGGTCTACTGTCCCAACCAATTGGTCTACAAATAATGAAACGATGTGGTGCCAATTGGTTCAGGAAAACATGAATAGGGAGGAATTCCGTAACACAAGCAACCACTAGAGCATAGAGCCGTTATATTACGATAGATATATAATCTTGAGAGGGTTAGGTTAGGGTTACGGTTAGGGTTTGGGTTAAATTGGTTAAGGTTTGGATTTGGGTCAGGGGTCTCTTCATTGCTGTGTTTGTTGGGGTGGTCGCTGTTACAAAAGTTCTTCCCATGATCAGATGAATGTGACATGAAGCTACAGCGAGCACCTAGCACACCTTTATGATTGGCCTAAATATAGATGACGCATTTCCGTAGTCTCACCGTGGTGGCCCCGCTTTACTGATTAGCGCGCGATGGGCTACGTCACTAGGATTCATCGCCAACTGCTTGGGCTGTGTGTGCGTGTGCGTGTGAGTGTGGGTGTGTGCGTACACGTGTTTGTGTGTGTGTTTTATGGAAAGAGAATGGCTGATTGTTTTTAAAAGGTTATAACACAAATTAATACCAACAAAAAAAACAAATACTGCAAGATCTAGTCAACAGTTACTGGCGAGGGAAACCCCAGAAGACGACAAAAATAGACGGCGGAAATACATCATCTATATTTGGGCTAATCACAGAGGTGTGCTAGGTGCTCACTGTAGCTTCATGTGATGATGCGATAGGAGGAGAACTAATTAATTTTGATACCTTCTCCATCTCACGTCTCATGTACTTCAACAAATTTACCATAAAAACCTTGCCTCAGGCTTTCACTTACAATAATTGTTAGGTAGGCTACTATAATTACTATTACACTATAGTATAGAATAGGACGATTTTGTAGTTTCGTTCGTTAAAGTCCAAAGCTGAACGCCAGAGACCCTGAATTGCCAGAAAATCAAAATTCAAGCAAAAAATGCCCTTTTTCAGCAGTTCCCACCCCCACAATTATCATTCGCCAGTTTGAGCCCCAAGAGTCAAGAGTAGAGAGGTTTCAGGGGGGCTTGACCTATCAAAAATATGGAGGGGGGGGGGGTTGTTCAGATGCCCCCCTGAATTTTACCATAATTTAATGTTTTGCAGTTAGGTTGCATCCCTGTTCTTTGTGTTGCCTTTAACTATTTGGTCATCAAGACTTCCGGATTTCTTCTCTGGATGTAAACAAATGGATTGTGGACTTTAACGAACGGAACTACAAGATCATCTAGAATAGTACTGTACTGTAGCCTACTGTTAAGACTTGTTACCTCGGTTCAGTTGCTAAAATTTTGGAGACAAGACAAAGACTTGTAAAAGTCTAGATCTAGAATCTAGATCTAGGCCTACTGTTACTTATTACTTTCCAGGAGGTGTCAAGCAGTCACAGACAGCACAGCTTACCAAAGCCAAAGTCCAATGTCTAAGAAGATACAGTTACAGTGCGTTAGTGTGTTAGCCTACATCTAGATTTAGATCTAGATCTAGATCTAGGCTTTTTTCTTTTTTTGAGGCCAAACTCACTGACCTAACTGACAGTACTGTCAGTTTACAGTTACAGGAAATCTGTGACAGTGTACTGTGACTGTGAGTGTGACATGATGATATGATCTAAAATAATAGTAATAGGCCTACAAACAAAAACAAGCCAACTTTACTAAAAGCGTTTCGTTTCAATCAAACATAATGTTCTAACTTCCTTGTTATAATCTAGATCTATTGCCATCCAAGAATGTCGCTTTGGTTCGTCTCTTTTTTAAACTGATTTGTAAAAGGAAATCTTTGCTCGATTTTGTAAACCGATTCATTGTGTCATCCCTCAGTATCAGTCAACACTTCCGTGGGCGGTAGCCGCAACTGCATTTCACACACATTGGGAGAGGTGAGGGGCGAGAAAGCTGATTGCCTTCATCTCTGTTTTAAGATAACTATTATCACAGTCAATCAAACATTACCTTGATATACAATTCAAACTTTTGCATGGGAGAATCTCCATCGCCATCGGTAGCAGACATCTTGAAAGCTTATTAGCCGATTCAGAGTCGGCGACACCAGCAGAACAGAATACGGTAGCACTGTGTTCTCAAATAGCGCAGTATGAATGACGCAGAGACCTCGCCCAAGAACAGTACGCGCATGCGCAAAAGAAACCCTCTCACTTGCCAGGTTAAGAGAAAGATCCAGTTTCTAGGCTAAAGATAGGCTACTAAATAAAATATTTAATTAATTAGCACGACAAGGACCGACCAAATTGGTTTTTTAAAAGCTTTTTAAAAAATCTACCTTCAGCGTCAATTTCATTTTTTTAAAATTTGTTTTACAAGTCATGATTTTTAAATCAAGTCATGGTAAGAACTGGCGTAGCGTAGATCGTGCAAAGGTTTTTTAAAGTTGTTTTTTTTGGTGGGTTAATTCTTTGTTTTTCTGTGAAACGGGACTAATTCCATATGACTGTTTTCGGGTGTACAATTGATATGCACAGATTTGTAGACTTATAAGAATAGATATAACCTAAGGCCTGCTAAGTACAGGTATGTCTTTTTTAGTGAAAACGTTAGTCCTTGGACTTGTTTAAAAAATCACACCAGTTAGAAATGCAAAATGGCATGCACGAAACCGGAACTTACAGAGTCACGTGATATCAATGTTGACCCGCTATTATCGGGTTCTCTTCAATTCGTTTTCTCCCTCCCCCCCCCCCCCCCCCCCCCCCCCACCCCACCCCACCCCCCCCCCTCTCTCTCTCTCTCTCTCTCTCTCTCTCTCTCTCTCTCTCTCTCTTTGAGTGAGAGAGAGATTTTTTTTTAATTTGCCTAAAATAGTCGAAGTTGAAGGCTTACCAAAATAAAGCGCAAAAATTAATAATGCTTTAGGTCTTGACGTAGACCTATGTATATTATTATTATTATTATTATTATTATTATTATTATTATTATTATTATTATAGGCTATACAATTTTATGACAACTGTTATTTCTGCTTTATTTCGGAATCATTATACATGCTTCTGGAATCTTAACGCAATTAAACCAAAGATAAAGACAATACCCCTTCCTGAACAGAATGTTTAAAGAATATGCCCACGCGTTCATTTCTGTGAGCGTTTTTCCCCCGCGCGCTCGTGGGTTAGCGGCGAAAAAGAAAAAGGGGTTGGGGGGGGGGGGTTACTTCAACTTCCTTAGTTAGCAATAATAATAATAGCCTAGCACCGATTATGTGTACGGGTTTATAATAATTACTTCATGTATAATGCCTGTGTGCGGTCAAGGAGGTTATAGTTCTTAAGGTCTTTTATTGTGAGCGATGTAAAGGTCTACCGCAAACGACGTGGTCGTTAAGGTCCATATTATTCGGTTAAGCTCTTAAAAAGCGATTATAATACATGGAGGCTACTTGCATCCTGAATCCTGTAGAATTGGCCACTTTCGAAAAATGTTCAAGTTCATAAGATTCAAAATTGATAATAATAATAACAATAACGATAATAACAACAACGATAATAATTATAATAATGATAAAGACTGATGATGATGATGATGATGATGATGATGATGATGATGATGATGATGATGATGATGATGATGATGATGATGATGATAATAATAGTAACAAGTAGACTAAAAAATAATTAGATAAATAGATAGATCTAAATAAATAAATCGATCAATGAATAAACATAAATAAATATAATATAAGTAAATTGTAAAAGAAAAAATTTGCCCTGCGCTTTTCTAAACGATTTTTTAAAGATTTCAAAGTCAGAGAAAGTTTATTCCGAAATGTAGTAATTATTAATAATAAATAGCATGTATGCTGCTCATTTCCATTTTTACAACAACAAAAATGCTCAATGCGCATTACATAAAAAAGACGACATCGTAAAAAGTAATCGATATCTGTGTACGTACAACACAGTGTTGTGCATAGGCCTGTAATGGATGTATACATCATGTACCATGTATACAAATTTCTATGAGAAAAAGTCTCGCCGTGAGCTTGGCAATGTTTTCACTGAAAAATACAATGCAATAAAAATTCACGGTCACAATAAAACCGAAACTTGAATAATTATAATCATTAATTAAAACATTCGTTCTCTATTTATAGAAAAACATTTCTGTACTCCCTCTCTCTCTCTCTCTCTCTCTCTCTCTCTCTCTCTCTCTCTCTCTCTCTTTTCTCTACCCATTTCTCTCTCTTTCTCTATCTCTCTCTATCCCTGTCTGTCAGTCTGTCTGTCTGTCAGTCTGTCTGTCTGTCTGTCAGTCTGTCTGTCTGTCTGT